TATATATATATATATATATATATATATATATATACATATATATATATATAATGTTTACAATCAGTTTCGTTTCCATATTTGATCTTGCAATTTTGTTCAGGTTCTATTAGTGTGTAAAAAATGATCATGAGTGATTAGTACAAATATTAACATTACTTCAACAACTACACATTACTTTAACAACTATACATTGCTTCATATTAATATGTGATTGATTGGTACATTCAATAGAGATTTCATATTCAGTATATTATTTACAACTAAACATTACTCATAAATATTAAATAGTTTCACATCAATACATGAATGCGTAATACATTTATTGCAAGACCAAAAAGAAGGATAAGAGTCATACTTCAACAACTAAGCACCTCACACAAGATGGATATTCCAAGAGCCTCACTACATCACAAAAGACACTAAACACTTAACAACTGATTTCACTTTGTCATCAAGGTAGCTACAAATCCAACAAAAAAATGAAATCATGAATTTGTATTTTAACTTACAGTATTTCTCTTCAAATATCCCAAGTTTGTCCACTTCGAAATCATTAGTTGCATCTAGGATTAGAATTTTTTTAACAAATGACCTCTTTCAATTTTCAATTTTTTCATTGCAATTCTCAAATTCTCCATTTTAATCTTAAAATTATTTGTTTCAATCTTTACATCTTTCAATTACAACTCTAAATTACATAGGTAAACTATTTCGGAAAAATCTTGATCCTCTCATTCTTAATATCCACATGAAGAAAATTGTCATAACAGTCAAAAATACAATAATAACAATAATTAAGAACAAAATAAATTAAATAATAGAAACAAACCAGTTCAAAAACCATATTTACATCCGTATGAGAGCATCTGGAAAATCTTCTTTCCGAATTAGATTTAGTACCTGAACTCAAACTTCTGACCACCAAACCATAAACACATTTTCTTTAAGATGAATAACTATTTTGTGACATTAGAAAAACTATCGAAGGGAAGGAGAAGATATTTGAAGAACTACTGTAGGGGACGGTGGAAACAATTGAAAGAAATATCAGTGGATTCCTGATTTGAAAGTTTTTTAAAGTGTTTTTTGAGAATGGATAAGGAAAATGAGTTAAATATTTTATTGAGTTAAGTTCTTAGAGGGACCGGGGCATGTGTTTAAAATGAAAATGAATCGTGTAAAAGAATTTAGGTTATTTTTTATTGATTTGAGAATTTCGTCCATAGAGGGGTATAGATGACAAGTTTATTAATGGTAAGGTAAGAACAACTTGATTTTAACGGTAAAGATAAAATCAACTAATAATAAATCAAAGTTGAGAAATATCTTTTATCCTTTTCTCTTTAAAATATGACATTGCGATTAATGTTATGTCGTAAAAAAAGAATTAAAAGTTATTTTTCTTGTCAAGATATATCTCAAATATATATATTTTGAAGCAAAGGGATATTTTCTGAAATTACTTTGGAATGGAGCAATTTCGAGTATTTACATTCAATTTTGGTCTATCTTTTGTACTTTTCTCATATTTAAAAATATAGTACATTCAAATATGAATATTATTAAGATTTTTTTTTATAAGGATGTATAATCAAACACAATTTAAAACTATATAGTTTTAAATAGTGAAAAAATTAATATCATTTAATCAAATCCCATTTAAAATTTTATGAACAACAATAATATTTAGGAAAAAAGGACGAATTTACCCCCGAACTTTGATAAATGGTACGTCTATGCCCTCTGTTATACTTTGGGTCCATCTCAGCCCCTGCCGTCCAATTATCGGTACACACATGCCCCTCTCACTAACGGTCCCCTCATCCTTTACACGTGTCTTAAGCCTAATCAACTACTCATTTGACCATTGTTTTTAACCCATAAACTAACAACCCGCCCCATAAACCCATACCCACCCGATTCCCTCTAAAATATCCTAAGTCAATTAAAAGACCCAAATCTTCCGGGTCTCTGTTCCTATCTATAATGCATTGTTAAACAAAATTAAATACAATTTTAATACAAAATTTATCCATTACAAATTTCTATTTTTTTTAATAGTGTTTTGAGCTAAACTTACAACAAAAACAGCTACTGAATTACACAAAATGGGAAACAAAATTAGATATATAAACACATAGTTACGATCCTCCTCACTAACAACAACATGAAGAAGAAAAAAGAAAAATAAAATTCAATTTATTTTTTAAAACTAAGGGATAATAAATAGATATAAAAACTAAAACGATGGAACAACGCCCTATGATGCATCGGCGGCGATGAGTGAATCGATTTTAATTTCAGTACGTTTAGCGAATCTCCCTTTGATTCTGGGTCGAGTCTCAGCATAAGCTTCTCTAGAAGAATATCGAATCGTCTTCTCGAACTTTCTATTCTTCCTCTTCTCTCTATACCTCATTACCCTTGCTTCTCTGTCTAAACCAGAAACTGCATTCGGCACGGCGTCGGCATCGGCGTCGGCGTCGGCACCAGCACCGGCTGATGAGTTCATCACAAAAGTGTTTGATACATCCGTCATTGCACTGTGGTCTGGTACAACTCCGACGTCAAGAAATGATGATGAAACCTGTTAGTTAAACAAAAGCAAAATGAGATCGATTCACGTGAAGGAAGAGGAAGAAGGAAATAGACGAGAGAAGATACAGATGCATACACTTTGGCTAATGGATTGAGAGGTGAAATTGTACATGTAAGGTTTAGATCCAACGAAATCGATTTCGTAGGTAGGGAATCCATCAACGACTGGACCTGGTAAATGAGTACTTGTTTCGTTGTTGTTCTGCACCGGCACAACTCTGTCGGAGCTGTAATGGCCGTGTTGATGCTGTTGATGATGAAGAATATGCGGTTTTTGCTCACATGACATTAGATCTATATCTAAATACGAATCCATATCATTAAACAAGTAATAAATCTGATCATTCCCTTCTTTCGGCGTCGGAAGGATCCACGATGTTGCTTCAGCTTCTTCCTCCGGTTGAGAAGGATTCTCATCAGTACTATCAAAGTACTTCTCATCATCAACAGCATCAGCATCAACATCATCACCGCCGTGAGATTTCTCACCAGTACTATAAAAGTACTACTCAATTCTCATTTTTCAACTCTATTGTGAGAGGAACGAGAGACCCGAAAGATTTGGATCTTTTAATTGATTTAGGATATTTTAGAGGGAATTGGGTGGGTATGGGTTTATGGGGCGGGTTGTTAGTTTATGGGTTAAAAATAATGGTCAAACGGATAGTTGATTAGGATTAAAACACGTGTACAGGATGAGGGGGGCGTTAGTGAGAGGGGCATGTGTGTACCGATAATTGGACGGCAGGGGCTGAGATGGACCCAAAGTATAACGGAGGGCATAGACGTACCATTTATCAAAGTTTGGGGGTAAATTCGTCCTTTTTTCCCTAATATTTATCAAATATTTATTTTATACTTAATGAGATAATTTATTACCATACAACTATATATAATTTATTTTAAATAATAAAATAAAATTATTTAATCAATACTGTTTTAAAATAATAAACTTATGAATTAATATGGGGCAGCACGGGTCAAAAGTAAGAAAGAAAAAACAAATTGGCTACCACACTTGTGATGACGTGGAGGTCCCAATAGTGATGGGTAGCACCTCTTCTGATGACGCGCAACACCCAATAATGTCTCTCCAGGTCAGCAACAAGACGTGACCGGCTAATTCAAGTCACCATCGTAGACACACTCTCCAACACTTATCTTCATACGCAACTGGTTCCGCCATTAACCAGTTAACTTCATCCGCCAGTATAAATAGTTTCCCCTCATTTCACCACTGATGAAAACCCATTTCATTAGAGAGATTGAAAATTTGAACGCTTTTTCTGTTGTTTCAATCTTCTTTTTCCGGTGAATTTCCAGCGGCGTTAGTGTGTGGTGTTTGATCAATTATAAGGAAGAAATCATGTTTCTGGTGGATTGGTTCTATGGAGTGTTGGCATCACTAGGGTTGTGGCAGAAGGATGCGAAGATCTTGTTTTTAGGGCTTGATAATGCTGGCAAAACCACCTTGCTTCATATGTTGAAAGATGAGGTTCGTTTCGTTTCTCTCCTTCCTTTTTTTAAGTCTAAATTCAATGAAGAACGAATTACAAGTACATGACCATATAGGTGATACTAATTACTAAGCTTAGTTGTGACATCAGGTACGTGTTTCTCAAGATCCTGATTAGAGACTAAGCTAATGATTTTTTTGAAATTTTATAGAACCTGAATTATGCCTAAACAGACAATGATTACTAGCGTTAGAATCAAATGGATCTTAATAGATGGTGAAACTCTCTACTTTAAGAAAACTTTGTTTTAAATGACAACCTTTTTACATGCACTAGGTGATTCTTCTCATCTGTGCGTCTTGATGGAAAGAGTTATCCCGTGGAAATTGGAATTAGTTGAGGCTTGAACTTATATTGAATGCGGATAATATAATTTTTGTTATAGCTGTTGCAGCCGCTGAAGCAGCCATTGGCCTGGCTATTGTTTCATCAATTTACCATAACAAAAAATCAACTTGTATCAACCAATCAAATTTGTTGAATAATTAATATTAATTATCTGGATTCTAATAAAGCTGGGCCCGGACACCACGGTCATAAAAAGAACAATCTAATTACTTGCACTGGAACGGAATGAATACAAAAAATTGATATAGCTGACCTCAACTAGCTTCCAATGGAGTCTATTATGTATATGTGGAGTTGATTTTGCGTAACGTGTTTTAAGTACATGGTGTTTATTGATGGAGATAGTAAATGATAGTATGCTTAGGAGGTTGAGTTATTGAAACCAGTTGATTGAATTTTTTATTGGTATCACTATTTTGCTTATAAGGGTGGTGCTGTATTGCTTGCTGACTACATTCATGTTAAAATTGATGCAGAGATTGGTGCAGCATCAACCTACACAGTACCCCACATCAGAGGAGTTGAGTATTGGGAATATCAAGTTCAAGGCTTTTGATTTAGGAGGACACCAGATTGCTAGAAGAGTCTGGAGAGACTACTATGCCAAGGTGAATACTTATATGGTTAAGAACAGCTGTTTACTCATTCCGAAACGGGTTATTATATACACTTTCTAGTTGTGTATCACATTAATCATTATGGACAGACTTATCGTTTTGGAATGCAAGTTGTGACATTTTGGCTTTAATCAGGTTCAATGTTGTGCATCATTAACATCATGTTTTTTTGGGAAATCAGTATTGACATGAATGCTATGCAAGTCTGTTGTAACTACTTCCATAATTTGCGTTGCCCACACTCTACTTGCTGTTTGACAAGCAAGTTTTCTCATTTGCAGGTGGACGCTGTTGTTTATCTTGTGGATGCAAATGACAGAGAGAGGTTTCCAGAGGCAAAGAAGGAATTGGATGGGCTTCTGTCAGATGAGTCGTTAACAAATGTCCCATTTCTCATTTTGGGAAACAAGATTGATATACCATATGCTGCTTCAGAAGATGAGCTGCGTTATCACTTGGGCCTAACTGGTGTGACCACTGGCAAGGGTAACGTCAACCTTGCTGGTACCAATGTCCGTCCAATTGAGGTGTTTATGTGTAGCATTGTGCGCAAGATGGGATATGGTGAGGGCTTCAAATGGATGTCGCAATACATCAAGTAGGAGAGTCAACCATAACGAACTTGTTGGCTAAGTTCTTCTTTTGTGATCCCAATCGGTTGGTTGGGGTGTGATGGGGGGAAGAACACAGAGAACTTCTCCCAATCAGGAAAGTAGCATGTCAGGTTACATTGTATTGGATAAACGCTACAGCTTTGCACTAGCTTGTTTCTAGTTTTATCTGTACTCTTTTTGGATAGAAAGTTTGTACAGGGAAAGCACAATAACGAAAAAAGGGCAGTCCTTGTTCTTCATTTCTTGGGTAAAGTCAGTCGTCAACTCTTTTTAAGGGTAAACTTTTTACTCATTCAATTTCCTTCAACTACCTTGCCAAAATGACCTAATAATCCTATCCTATGAAACAATACTATATTTTCAAAACTAGCAATAGTCTTGTAACCAAACATATACAACCTCTAACCAATTTCAAAAAACTAGAGATTTAAGAGGTCTCTCTCTCTTTCATCCTATCTTCTCCTCACAAATCGTAGTCATCATTGTTGTACTGTTCTCACGTACGTGCTCTATTGCTACTGCCGGTGTGCCGCCGCACTCATCCATGGCTTCCCAACAGGAAAATTGCCATAATTTCGCCAGAAAATCAAATGATTAGATCTCCTCGTTGCCCTTTTTTGTTTCACCAGAGTTTTTCTTCTTGGATGAAGTTCTCTCCCAGGGCTTCTGAACTTCTTCTCTCCGTGTTCACTTATATATATTAATAATGCTCAAAATTACACCTTGCGATGCAAAAGATTTCCCAATCATTGGACAATTTTAGAACACTAGGAATATTTATAATTTTCGGGGATCGGAGCTTAGAATATTCAGACAACATGGGATCTTGTGCAAACGTTCATCATCATGGCTATAAAGCTCCATGCGGTTTTCCTTTACTCACAATACTATCTTTATCTCGTTTTTATTTATATTTTCGAACATATCTAATTGCTAATAACTAAATCTAACAAGTTAAGACAAATATATGTTATAGTGATACATAACATAAAAAATAAACATTCAGCAGATATACGATGAGATACACCAAACATACATTCCCCTTCCTTGGTGTGATTGGTGCCTTCGACACTGTTCTGCATAAACTTTTTGTGTAAACAAGCAACAAAATACGGAGACTAACAACTAAAATATAGACTTCAATGGTAGAAAAAGAAATTTCAAATGTGCACAACCTATGGAGCGATAGTTTTAGGGATAGAAATTTTTTAAATTGAGGTTATGAGAGTGAAACTGGGAATGTCCATGAAAAAAGTCAAAATAGGGGATTCACTTTTCCTTAAATCTAATATTCATGCTAAACGTAGTAAATAGTTGATAATGTTTATACCAAGAGTAATATTAGTCTTATATATTTACCCCGTGTATAAAGACGTCATTAAAAGATTCAAGGCATCCAAGATCAACTACTTATTGTGCCATTGAATCCAAAATCATTGATCATGACTATCATTGACGTGCTTGTGATTCTTACGTGGGCTCGATTATATGGTCCATGCCCCATTTGAACATAGAATAGTCTAGCCAAAGCATACAATCATTACATATCATGAAATCAATACTGCAAATATTTGACATCTTAGTCAGGCAATACACTCGCTGAGACCACACTTAAACTCCCACAACAACAGGTACTGAGTGCCAACCCACGCTTTTCTAAAACATTTGGAGGGTCGAAGCTGCGATGATAACACAATCTACCAATTTACAACATCTCTACCAATGTACAAACTGATTTGTACAATAAGCACACATAACCTATTCTTTTCAGTAGCTTCAACCAGGCAACTCTTTCGTTCTATAGGGATCACGTTTGTGGGAGGGGGCAGGGGCAATATCATAATGCTTTTTGGAGGGTGGTTGCTAGCCTGGGTTACTGCTGTAGCTCCAAATATTTCAGGGAAGTACTTGTTCCTTATCTTCTTAACCCATCTGGTTATCAGGATTGAGAAGCCTTTTGTATTCCAGCTGCAAAACAGCAAATATGGTAAATGTCAAGTGATGAATAACATCTTGAAGTTTGTCTCCCCAGTTCATCAATCGAAAAAAGATAACAGAAAAAAAGAGCTTCCTTACTGCAGCATTATTATGTTCCATCTTCATCCTACTATATTCTTCTTGTGCTCGCTTTGAACGAAACATGGCCTGAACTCGTACAACAGACCTTTCAACACGCTCTTCAGCTTGTTTCCTACTGGCTCGGAAGAAGTCCTCCACCTCACCATCAGGTTTGATATCCACTGATTCACTAGATTGAACCTGAAGACCACGAAAGCCTTTTCTCTTCAAACGCCATCGTAAGACTGCCTTTTCAAGCACCCCAACAGACCAAACTATCTTGCGATACTGCTTCCGTTCTTGGAAACCACGGAACACGGCCTGCATAAACCAGAGTCGGATTCCACTATTTAAATTTGTCCCATCTGCTTACTTAAATTATTTACCTTATCCAACCCCCCTCCCCCCCAAAAAAAAAACCAGTCTACACTCTACAGTAATAGCCCCGAGCAGTATCAACAGAATAGCATTAAGTAGCATATTGAAAAGAAAAGAGCATCCATTGCAGGTTAATAGCAATATTCGAAATTTGAGGAAATTAATGTGGAGACAACAAGGTATAATCTCTTTTGCCAATTCATGAACATAATGCGCACCTCATCTCAGTGAGCAGATCACATGAAAATTAAGGGAAAATGGAACACCAGTACTAACTTGGACCAACCAGACACAGTTTATACTTTCAGATCTTTTGATGGAAGAGATGGCTCTAATTATTCAGCCAAACTTATGAGAAAGGGCAACTTACTTGAATTTTGATCGCATGACGCCGCATGGTAAGAAAGTCTTTCCGCATTTTCCAAGTTCGGAACCTATATTGGATTCGGGCAGCAGCAGCCAGTTTTTTACGCGACTCATAATTGCGGAAAGCATGCTGTATCTTCATAGCAGCAACTATATTACGTGCTTCTGTCTCTGGATTTAAAGACTCAACAGCTTTGGTCTGTAGTTTGAATGACTGTTCTCTGAATGCAGCCTGTATACGTGCAGCAGCATCAGCAGCAGTACGATAAGCTGTCAAAGTATCTTTTAGATACAGCTCCTCCTCTGTGAAGTTTTCAGGGTTTATAGGTTCAGTAGTGATCTGCAGTGAACCACTAACATTTCCAGCCAAGGTCATAGCCTCAAAGTGTGCAACTAAAGCCTTCTCCGCAAGATAAGCCCCCAAACCGTCGAAACCATTTTTAGATGCAAGATCAGCAGCAGTGGATCCATCAGGGTTCTCTGAATTGGGGTCTGTGACCAAATTTGGTTTTGCACCAGCAGATAGAAGGGTCGCAACCATTTTCTCCCTGATAATCAGAACTCCCAATAATAAGCAACCAATATGCTGGAAAAATTGTAATATTCAAAAATAAATTTGTCCTAATTATGTCTTCATTTCCTTTAAGAAAAATCCTTTTTCTGGTTGGGGGAGGGAGGAAGGAGGAAAGGGGTCGCGCGGTTCAGACATTTGGTGGACAGCAGTAAAAAATATACTCAAATCAGAAGAAACTCCATGATTTTTTTCAACCAGTGTTCTTAAAAGTGAAAGTGCAAAAAAAAGTGACAACCTCCATCGGATTTGAAGCAAAAGCAAGTAATCACAAGCTTTTTTAATAGTAAAGCGTAAGTTACGGAAATCAAACAATGTCAAACATTAAATTGCAGTTAAATAACTAATTTCAACAGCCAATATATAGTAAAGCCAATATTAATCCAACTCCTCAAAGTTTGAGAATGAAAGAACTGCCGCTTTTCTGTTGGATCACTTTGGGAGTCAATGTTTGAAGTGCACATTTCTGTTGAGCACATGGCTTCACTTGTGAAGCGGTAACCCCACACTTCACATTAAAGTGTTGGCTTTTAAAAACACTATTTTAAACAATGAAATAATAATGATCTCAAAATTCCTCAGCTGCACTAGGGATTACCTTCCATAGTGCGCAGCCCAGTGAAGAGCTGTCCAACCATGCTTGTCCCGGTAATCCACTGATAAGCCTGACCAGGTAAATGGATATATAGCCCAAGTATAACCTAGGATAGCACACAAATGGATAACTCCTTGACCTTGCTCATCTCGCTCTGAGGTCTTAGACCCTTCAATAACTCTTTCCAATAGCCATTCATGAAATTTGGTTTGCAAAGACAGCTCAAACAAGCAGTCTTTTGCATGTATGGAAGGGATTTCCCTGCCTTCAATTGATTTGATCAAATATGCCCAATTATTAGTAATGTAGGCACACTTTCGAACAAAGTTCTTTGCATCTTTCAGAGAATTTTGGTGTACTTTACTGGAAAAAATGCTTAGGCTCTTAGATGTAGAGAAGAGCAAATGAGCTAGTCTCATTTGAACTTTAAATTCATCCCAACTAGACTGGTCCTCCAGAGGAGCTGTCCATTTATGTGCTGAAGGAGCTCGAAATTCAAAGGTCATGACTTGACTAATCGGTGTGTTACCGTCCAAACTCAAATATAGATTTACCAGTCCAGGGGCTTGAGGTGAAATTACACAACGATATACCCCAGACTGCACAAATTCTGCAGTAAAACAAACATCTGCACATACACAGAACAAATTTGACTTTGCCAGTGGTGATTGTCTTCCTGGAAAATGGCCAACCACTAAGATCTGCAATAATTAAGACAAATAATAAATGTTGAGATCGTTGATAAAAAAGAAAGTGCACATCTTGGAACTCCCACCTCCACGCAGAAACTGGCTACTGCAAGAATTATATCTATAGTTTCAAGGAGTGATTTTTCTCTCTGTAACTTAAGTGCACTCAATTCACAAAAGCAAGCATTAGCGAAAGCATGCAAAGCTGAACAAGTTATTTGTTTATTTAATTACTTTTTGATATGATAGGTCTTGATTGTCACCTAAATGTCATGTTATGTCAAACCTGGACATGTCTAATGACGTACTGATATTTCATTAATACAATGAGATTGATAAAAAAAAAATCATATATGAATGCAAACAGAACTTTAATCAAAATATGGGATGGAACACTCCTCCTCTCTTATCATTAAGAAGGTAATATTCTTGTGAATTGATACTATTATAGCTAGCAGGGTAACAAGGTTTTGAAATAAAAGAACCTTTGTTTCTTCACTTGAAAGAGCCCAAGAAGGAGATATTTCTGTTATGTTGAATGTCTGCTGCATTACATAGGATTGATCAATAGTTACTGACGAT